TCATGGGGGCAGCTCAGCTCACTCTGCAATATAGCGCATTGCAGTTTTAGATGAAATCTAGTGACTTTGAACATATGTTTTCTTGTTGACCTATGTCAACAAGAAAACATATAGTAGGTTGCTAAGACTTTTGCTTCAGGAGTCCTGGGGGACAAGAAGTTGATCGCTGTCGGAGACTCTTTGTACAGCTCTTATGAAGTTGGAACGAAACAAATATTTCATTTGTGGATGGCAAAAGTTCTAGTGTTACTAGCGGATAAGCCATCTGATAACTGATGGGGCCTAAAGTATTCTTATTCATTGACTTTTAATAAACTCTTAAGTCCTCGTGCGCCAACGATGTACTGTAATTGTATTAGGCACACTCAAATGCAGTGACTAACAATAAAATGTGATTGCTTTAAACGAAGGTATTCTTCATCCAGGTTGTGTGTTTTCTGAAAAAGTCTTCCAACTTTGCATGACCTTGAGAGAACTTACGGGATTATACAACATAAGGACCTACAAAGTTATGACATTCTCCAAATCAAAGAGGAAAATATTTGCGTTTAATGAAACCAGTCTTCCTTGACTTGTTGGCACCAATCATCTAGTAATATCACGTACTTTTAGACATTTGATTACAAGTTGGAGAAATAGACGGTAAAAGTGAAAATATAATACCGTAAAATCTTGATTCGATGAACCACTAAAAGTAAGAGAAAATTTGTCCTCCCACATTATATATCATCTTTGCTTTAGGTCACAAACTAATTGGAGCCAGACAAAAGCACTCTGTGTCTATTATAACTTTTTCTTTGCAGCTAGTCTCTATATATACTCAATGCCAAGTTTTGAATTTCTAACATCAAAGTTTCTTCTCCAAAGATAGATTATATGATCTCCTTAATAACCTAGTTCATCATCTCTGAAGGCATGTATAAGGATATTTCATATCTCTCAAGTTTCATTGAAGATTAGGGAGAACCATCAAAAGAAATGAAGTTTGAGATGATACGCAAGTACTGAAATTGGTTTAAGATCTATCCGTCTACACCTTTGACTCAAAATTAAAATTTCTTTTCCAATTATGTCAACTTGTCCCTCTAGTAATATGATTGTGCTAATAATACAAAAATATAAACTAATCCCTGTCTCCAGCCCAAAGATTCTCTATCATAGTTTGCTCATTACAAGCAAATAGCTCATCTTAATATATCTCAATATATTCTGCAACAAACACTCTTCACCGTGCAAACTTTGTGAATAGTTACATAGATAGTTGTTTGCTACAGAGATTGCTTTGCGAGTGTGAATGATAAACATGATGATTTGCAACAAGAAATCTTCAACAAGAGCTTTGAATATGCAAAAAATTAAAAAGTTGTATATTTTGTGTTCACGAACGGCTGTAAAAGTGAGGATTTTGGCATTGCAAGAAAAATGAGAATTTTGGATTTTGCAACCAAAAAATCCCAAGAAAAGCAATATCAAAGATAATTTTTGCCAAAGTAACCTATAGCTTTGCATCAATCTAATGATTCATAATACGATTGTCGAAGATTGATTGCCTCATTCTATTTCTCACTGCCAACTTTAAAAGCAGAGTGATCATTTTTAGAGAACAAAATTTGACAAAATTACTTTTTGGAAGCTACAACTACGGAATCAAAATTTTGTTGAATTTCGAATAAATCAAAGATCAGTGGCAAAGCAGAGTAGCAAGTAACAGCATTGAGAGGTTTGATTATTAAATTTTTCATTTTGATAGGTGTCAAATCTAGTGATATCAAACAATAGTTCTGAAGTTTCAAGCATCAAAACAAAATTTGATGATCACCATAAAATACTTCTTTCTTGAATGTCTTTGCCATCACAATAACTATCTAAACTAAAGCAAAAAATTTATAAAATATAATATAATTTTTTTTCCCGAAAGTTGAAATGTAATGAAGATGAGTGATGACAAATCACTAGATCAAACATTTTATGAAACAATACTAGATTTTTCTAGAATTTAGTTTTTATAAATTTGATATCTATTATATATTTTTATTTAAATTGAATATAACTTAGAAATATTTCAATATATGATAACTATGTATTACATTTTGAATGTAATTTCTTTACACACGTACATAATTTTTTTTTCAAGTTTTGATCTATATAAATTGATATATATATCTCTCAGTAACGCTAAGAGTTAGCAAAGCTGATGACAGACATTGCAGATAGTTTGGATGTTCGTTCTACAGATGCAGCGCTGAGCGAAATTGATTCTATCACAATCGTTCAGCAAGATGGTTTGTTTGTAACCAAAAATTCTATTGTCATGCATATATTAGATCAAGGTTCGTGGGCAAGGGATCTGTATTATGAGCTTTCAGGATTTGAGCAACAGCAGACATTGGAGGAGATAGGTACTTTTTCACTCTCTATTGTGGCAAACGGTTTGCAAATCAAGGCGGAACGTGGTTCTAACAATCATGTCAGGGAGTTGGAAGCACCTCTTGTGATGCCAGCAGATTTAGTCAAGATGTGTCCTGCTTTATTTATCAACGAGATGGTGGATCAATACAGGGCACACATGGGCAAGCACTGGAGCACTGACATGATCGACAAGGCGGAGAGTGAACACCGTGACCTGCTACTTGTTAACGGGCGTGAGCTGAATGTGAAAGAGACCATTGACAATCACAGCGAGAAGACTTTCTTCAACGAGGCATGAGATTGTTTAAATGGACGTTTCCTGCATTTGCGACAGTTGTGCGGTGGTCTGGCTATTGCTTTTCCAAATACTACCTCAATTAAAAGCGATTTTTCCATTATTAAACGGGAGAAAGATGACTCACGTACAAGGCTGACAATTATTTATTAGGCAGACATTATGCATGCGAAGCAATTTGAAACGCTGAAAACTGTTGTAGCAAACCGCTCTGAGAAAAATAGTGAAGTTAGTGTTAGTGCCAAAATTGCCAGAATTACCGTAGTTCTGGCAAACCTCGCGTAAGAGCATACCGCGGACGATTTCAACGCCTCCCGCGTTGTGCAGTATAAGCGTGGAACGCATTGCTCTTGGGCTAGTGCCACATGTATGGATCAAAGGTTAACGTAGCAATGGGGGCTAGATACCTGTAAGTGGCAGCCGTCTGTTTGGCTACCATTGGGGGGTTGAGCAAACTTGCACTCGCACTACAAAGCCGAAAAAGAGGCGTGGAGTTCGACCTTGTGATGCCAGTTCATGTAGCAAGCGCGTGGTAGGCGTGACTCGGAAAGTTGGCAGTTGCGCCGGCAATGCCACATGATGGTGGCGGCGCGTGAGAGCGGGGCGGAACTACTTGGTCGCCTGAAAGAGGAGGAACGGGTCGGAGGTACCTACGTCTTCAAAATTTCCGAGCCATTCTCCAGGTTTTGGCCTGGATTGCGTGTCCCGGCGAATCACCTTCCAGGTCTCGGGAACGTTGGATTGGACCAAGTCAATGAGACGCCGTTCGGTATCGTCGAGGCCGTAATCTCGTTGCAAGGAGTCTCAGGGTCGAAGGTCCATCGAATCCTCCACCCAAAGGTCCCGGAGGCAAGTAAGCCCTTGATTCGCCAGTTGAAGAGCGACTTTAAGACAGTTTTAATCATCGTGAAATAGAAAACATTAGATAATAAATTTGCAGAAGTTGGAGTAAATTATTAATTTATCTTACTCCAACTATCACTATAATTGGAAACCTCTTTTGTAGCCTATTAGAATGATCTATGTAAATATATGTTTTGCAATCTACCGACTCTCACGTCATATGAATCAAAAACACTAGCGCACCATATCAACAACGATGTATAGCTAATCTTTGTACTCAGAGCATGAGAGGAGCTGTTCTGTTCACTGTTCTTTTCCTCGTCTCTCGCATGAATAAAACAACTTTTTTCTCATTAGTTTGGCTACTCTTACACTTCGTAAGAGAAAAAGTTCTTCCAGTCCTGATGTAACACACTGGGACATTGTGTCATGTAGAAGCACGAACAAGATATCAAAACCCCAGCATCTTTAAGGTTGAAGTCTAGATATATAATTATGTTGAGTTACATCATCATATCTTTCCTTTCATTACTAAAGTTATTGACATTGAGTCATGTAACAACCAGGTGAAATTAATCAATACTCCCAGTATATTAGAGCTAGAAGTCTACTTATGTTATTAGGTAGATTTGGATTATATCTGATCTATTCCTTCATTTCTGCTCCACTTGAAGGTATCAGACAGTAGAGTAGAAGGACAGATGTTCAAGTGGAGCTCGGACATATTGCCAGGAAAGTATCGTCGGCTTTCACACTCTTCAGCGTCATTCCAAGCAACCTCCGACGAAAAACTACAATGAGAGCAAGGTACAGAGTTGAACCTCCCGATAGTGTCACCTCTTGTGAGTGACATCCTCCCACAAGTGACATGAAAATGAAGAACCATTAGTTTCTAACGGGTAATTTTATCCAATAATAACAGTACGTCACTATTGTTAATAGTGTCATTAGATTTTTCAAGAGTGACTATGTCGACCTTTAATAGCTATCATAATTACCAAAAGTCTTTGTTGAGAGTTAAAAGTCTACTTTCGGAGCTTGCTGATTGGTCTATCCCAAGTCTTCTCAGTGGTTACAATATTCTCAGACCTTGAATCCGTGTCACTGATCAAATGATGTGAGCGAAGACGTCGACGATATCAGACGGCTGTCTCTGCTCACTCGTTGCAATCTGGATGTGCGATGTTTAAACCCTTGTGGGAAGAGTGATGGAAGGAAATTGAGACAAATCGAGTGGAAAGAAGAACATGTCGGTTCTGCCGGTGGGATATTTTCACGCCTTTTCAAGTTGGTCAGGATGGAGCCAAATCCATGAGGAGGAAAACAAATCAAAAGATTTCAAATTTCAAATTTTCATGGGTGGCTCAGGGCTGATTTAGAAAATCCAAAATTTCCAACTTCGTCTTCACGTCCAAACAACGCTTGAGTTTAGACATGTGTGAATAAAAACGGGTGTAGATTAAGAGAGAAAAAAAACTCCCTCCAAACAAGTACAGATTGCGTTGAGAGAGAAACGACTACCTAATGCATAACAACTGTGACAGATTGTAGCGAGAAAGAAAGAAACTCCCCGAAGGCACTATGACAGATTTGTTGAGAAAGAAAGAAGCGCCCACTGAACGCAAATAACGCAGGAAAAGATTAGATATACTCTTGTGAGTGACACTCCGATTAGTGACATAAAACCCTTGAACGGTTATGTGTCACTATTGGGAGGTTTAACTCTGTACTAAATTGTGAATGATGACTTTTAATACATGCATCATCCAGATTGGGATATTTTGCATTCTGCGTGCTGTCACGTAGACCGTTCAGCGATCTGTTGCAACTCAATGATCTGCTCCATGAGAATGCGCCCATCCTGCAATCGAGCAGTGAGCACGGCGAGTACGTCTGATAGTCTCGAGCACTAATAAGAGCTCGTAGCTCGTTCTAAATCGGTCAAAACCGCTGGTCACATAACGTGTACACGGATAAATACTCGGCATACAGCACTGACCGGACTAAGTTAATATCTACTTGACCTATATGAAGATGAAGACCTAGACGATGAAGACAGTATGAAAGGTCTCGTTCGACTGATTGGCCTGACAGGCTATGCTGACCATCTCTATAGACAGTCAACATTTTTCTACCTCCCTTAGTGTGTACAAATATACATTATCCTTCATAAGAATAATAATGATGTCATGGTATTACGAAAGTGAAGTTGAATTGGAATCTGTCGGAGTCTGTACACCATCAGGTGAATTAATTGGGTGGTTTTCTACAACAATGTTGACATGAGGTTTAAAATTTGGCTCTTTGATTTGCAGGAGCATGCCCAGTACATCCCGCATGGTGGGTCGGGATTGAGGCATGCTTCGGCAGCACAGCAGAGCAACTTGCAACAGCAAGGTTACCTGCTGCAGTTGCAGACCCGCTTTCTGTTCATGTGGAACGATGGTCGGGTCAATAATGTCCACAACATTCGCACTGGACTGCGCCCAGGTCACCAGATCTTCGTCCTCACCGAAGCTATGCTCTGTCGGATGTCTCCCCGTCAGAAGCTCCAGGACGATCACTCCGTATGCGTACACATCCCCTTTGGTGGACACTCTGGTCGAAGTCGTGTACTCTGCTCGTGCCAGGAGACAAAGACAGAGAGGTCAGAATCCTCTCAGCCAGCTACGATGACGGCTACGACCTCACTCACTCTCTCTTCTACACTTTCGGGTTGAGGCATCAGCTCCCAAGTATCAAATATTCTTGTTCACATTCGAGCAACGAGTACTCGCACAAAATGCAGAACTGTCGGGCTGGCTGGAGAGTTCAGGATAGACACGAAGAGTGGAGATCTGATTTTCTTAGTCTCCTGGATTCTCTGCCTACCGAGATCAGAAAGTAATCAAATCCTCATGACAGAAAATGAAACGCACAACGAGTAGAATGTGATGCACGTGGAGAGAGCAAGCGGGAATGGACAATAAGAATAAACTGGTTCTCCATCAACTCATAATACTGAAGCTCCCTCTCGTTCTTCTGTCTGTCTGTCAAGCGGATATGCCACGTCCGTGGGAGACAACCATCCACACTGTTACGACCGGGGAATCCCACACATGAAGGCGGAAAAGGTAAACGGAAAGGCTTCCTCTCGTTCGATCGCTCGCTCCGGCGAGCGAAGTCACTACGAGATTTTCAAAACCGTCGATCGAATCGATCGGAACCCACTCGTGGGGATTGCGCTCGAACTCGAGGGACTCCGATCGAGGGGCACTTCGATAGCTCTTCAGATCCCTCACAGTCAAACCATCGGATTACATCTCGAAAATGATCGTGCGCTCGCAGGAATCAGGAATCGAGATTTAGGAAGAGGAGAGAGGAGCGTTACCTGGAGGGATGTAGCCGATCGTGCCGCACAGAGCGGTGGCAGTGGCTTCTCCAGCCTCGTGATGGAAGACGAACTTGCCGAGCCCGAAGTCGCAGATCTTGGGCTCCAGATCGTCGTCCAAGAGGACATTCATGGGCTTGAGGTCGCGATGGATGATGGGCTCGGGGAACTCCTCGTGCAGGTAGAGGAGGCCGTGGGCGACGCCCATGGCGATGTTGAGGCGCGAGGCCCACGACAGAGTGCCCCCCGCGGGGGGGAGCCCGTGCAGATGCTCGTGCAGGCTCCCGTTGGGCATGTACTCGAGGATGGCGGCTTTCAGCTCGGCGCTGGAGCAGAATCCGAGCACTCTGAGCACATTCCGGTGCCGGAGCTTGCCCAGCGTCTGGAACTCCTCCAGCAGATGCTTCTCGAGGCTCTCGGTCGCGCGCCCGGAGTGCAGGACCTTGGCCGCGAACACGTGCCCGCTCTCCGGCACGACTACCTTGTAGACGCGCGTCCCAGCCCCCTCGCCGATCAGGTACTCGGCCGAGAAGCCCTCCGTCGCCGTCTTCAGGCTCTCGGCCGACAGCGTCAGCACTTTGGTCGACCTCGGAAACGCCAGCCGGATCGACGCGTCGGCGTACGCCACGTGGTCAGCGCGGGTCTGCGTGGCGCGGCGCCAGACCCAGAGCCAGGCGCCCAGAGCCAGCAGCGCCAACGCGCCGGCGGCACAGCTCACCCCGATCACGGCGTCCCGGCAGTGGAGCCCTTTGCACCCGGGGGCGCCAGGCGCCGAGCAGTTCCGGCCGACCGCCGACCCGCAGAGCTCCGGGTTGCCGAGAAACGCGTCCGTCAGGTTGATACGCGCGAAGACTCCGGTCGTCGGTATGGGGCCCTCGAGCTCGTTGAACGAGACGTTGAACCGGCGCAGTCCCTCGAGTTGGCTCAGCCCTTGGGGAATCGGGCCGGAAAAGAGGTTGTCGGAAAGGTCGAGCGACTCCAGGCCCCGGAGAGTGCTCAGCTCCGACGGCAGCGAGCCGGAGAAGTTATTGTGCGAGAGGTCGACGTCGACCAGCGTCTTGTCCGGCAGGTCCAGCGTGCCCCCGTCCTGCAGGAGGCCGCCCGAGAACCGGTTCCACGAGAGGTTGAGCAGGTTCAGCGCGCTGAGCTGACCGAGCCACGGCAGCGGCCCGCTGAAGCCGTTGCTCGACAGGTCCAGCAGCGTGAGCGACACCAGCTGCCCGACGCTGCGCGGCAGGGGTCCGCTGAGCTCGTTGCGCTGCAGCTGCAGGCTGGCCAGACCGGCGCAGCCCGCGAACAGGTCACCGGGCACGGGCCCGCCGAGGCGGTTGTCATTGAGGACGAGGCGCGAGAGCGCCGGGCTGCGGGAGCCGAGCGCCGACGGCAGGGGCCCCGTCAGGCCGTTGAACGAAAGGTCGAGGAAGGCGAGCGCCGAGAGATTGCCGAAGCACGATTCAATGCTTCCGGCGAGCGCATTGTCTCGAAGCGTGATCCTCATGAGATTCGGGTGCGACCAAAATCCGGGGGCGGACGGAATTTCTCCCGAGAGACGATTCGAGGCGAGCTGCAGCTCCTCCAGCGAAATCAGATCTCGCAGCCCCGTCGGGAGAGGCCCCTCGAGGTCGTTGTCGTCCAGGAACAGATTCCAGAGCCACGTGAGATTCCCTATCGACTCCGGGATGCGCCCCGAGAGTCGATTGCCCGTGAGAATTATGTCCTGGAGGAAGATCAAATCGCCCAGAGACTCGGGAATGGCGCCGGTCAAGTTGTTGTGAGGCATGTGAAGAGTCGTGAGCTGAGTGCAGTTGAAGAGCGATGGCGGAATGGGTCCCTCGAGCCCCACCGTCATGAGCTGCAGGTATGACAGGTCCGTGAGCGAGCTCAGCCAGGCCGGGAATGGCTGGGGCGTGAGCGACTGCCCGTCCGCCACCAGGCCGTCGTTGCGGCCGAAGGTGAGGCGGTTGAGGCTCGTGCAGTTGGCGAGCGACGGCGGCAGAATGTTGGTGAGGTTGTTGTTCCACAGATTGAGCGACGTCAGGCTTTGCAGGCGCCCCAGCTCCCATGGAACATCCCCCGTGAGCTGGTTGTCGTCCAGCGAGAGCCACGACAGGCTCGAGCAATTCGCGAAGGAGACGGGAATCGGGCCCGTCAGTTTGTTTCCTCGCATGTAGAGCGTCTCGAGCGCCTGCAGCCGCCCGACCTCCGGAGGAATCCCGCCGACCAGATTATTGTTCTCGAACAGCAGAACCTTCAGCTCAGTGCAATTCGTGAGAATTGCCACGGGCACTTGGCCCGTGAACTCGTTCGTCCCCAGGTACAGATTGTCCAGATTGCTCAGCTGCCCCAGCTCAGACGGTATGGGTCCGTCGAGATCGTTCATGTCGAGGGCAAGCGTCGTCAGAGCCGAGCAGTTGGCGATCGACGGCGGCACGGGTCCAGTGAGATCGTTCAACGACAGATACAGCAATTGCAGATTGGAGAGTTGCGAAATCGTCGTGGGAATGCCTCCCGTCAGCTTGTTATGATGGAAACTGAGCTTCACGAGAGAGGAAACATTTCCCAACCAGTCTGGAATTGGCCCACTGAGTCGGTTCCTCCCGAAATTCATATACACCAGCTCCCGGAATGTCACGGCAGGATCTCCAAAGTAGGGAATTTCTCCCTGCAGTCGATTTGCCACCAGATTCAGGTACGCCAACTGCGTACAGTTCCCCAGCGATGGCGGAATTTGGCCGGCGAGACTGTTGGTCGATAAATTGAGCAGCTGGAGAAACGGAAGCATGCCCAGCGATGGAGGAATCTTTCCACTGAGGTTCTGGTTGCCGAGGTTCAGCCCGACCACGCGACCTCCCGTCGGGCCTCCGCACGAGACAGCAGTCCAGGTGCAGGCGGACGCGGTGCTCGAGTTGCTCCAATCCGTGAGCACGTCCTCTGCATTGTCGAATTGCGATTTCACAGCCAGAAGGATTTGGACGTCTTCCGCATCTGGAATCACCGGGGGGCCAGTCGATGAAACAAGCATCCTCGAGGAGAACTGTAATTGCACAAGGTGTTATCAGCTCGAGTGAAGAAGACTCGCTCGCGTCGGCGATGGCGGTTCAGGCAATTGCAGTCAGCAGCATTGGTACATCGAAAACTCGCACTGCCAGAGAAACTTACCCTGCTGCCGCTGCCGCCGTCGTGTCCGGAATGCCGAGGAGCATGCACATCAGTCTCGATGTCCATTCCGACGCCGCCCACTGACTCCACCGGCAGCAGAAGCAGCAGCAGCAGCAGCAGCAGTAGCAGGAGCGCCGCCACTGACATCCCTGCATTCCTCCTCCCCGAGCATTCGTGCTCGGGAGTCATGATGGCTCCTCCTCCACCCTCGACAGCGTAGATCCACCTCCGCCGGTTCGAATGATGAGGATCGAGGAGCTTCCTCTGAGACGCGGAGAATTCAGCCCACGAGTGTGGGCGATAATTCTAAAAATCTCCACCTCGTAGATTGCATGTGCTTCAGCCCTCGAGGGATCCAAAATCACCGACGGATTGATCTAAACCTACGGATGGTCTCGCCGAGTGTGCCATGAATTCATCGATCGATCTCGAGAGGATGGATAAGTGGATGGAGGCATGGGATTCAGATTCGTCGCAGGTGCAAATTTCTTCGCTTCGTCGAGGAAGCGAGTCCTGATTAAAGCAGGGAGTGAGCTCTGCGGAGCATCGAGTCTAGAACACCGAGTTCCATACTCGTGCCCGATCCCGAGGTTCATGTGGCTCGCTCCTCCTTGCGACTGCAAGTCGGATGGGGGTAGCTGGGGATGAGATCGGGCGCAGCAACGCTGGAAATCGGGGCGGAATGTCGGCGAATTAGCAATTGTCCGAGAATAAGAAAACGATGCTCCGCGCAGAATGTGGAGCGTACAGCCACCTCAGAGTTTTGGACAGCGAGCAGTTTCCGCAGTCACGGAAAATCTCTTGACTGCATTGACATGGCGTCGCCGATAACCGATCGCAGGACCAACCGGAAGCCTCGTCCCGGTGGGGCCTGCTGCCCCGCGAGCATCCAGGCAGCAGCTCGGTTTGTGGAAAAATAGTCAACGTCGGGACCACCATCTCGAGGTGCCAACATCTCCGCCACGATCGGGGTGCGATGGCCGTCTGTGTCCTTCGTGTACGATGCATCCGAGCCCGAGGACAGCGTGGAATTGCTCCACCAGTTGCAATCCTGCTGCTGCTCGCTCCCTGATTGTTCGCCCAGAATGGAGGACAACAGTCTCTTCCCATCTCTGCTTGCACCCTCGTTCCGCACCCCCCGTCTAATTTTGATATCACTGCTCGTAACTCCATCATACCTGCCCTCCATCTAAATCCACAAACATAAGCTTCAACATGAACAGCGGGACATATAATCTCAATAAGACAAGTCACAGCTCTCGATCCACAGCAGGTGCGGTACATTTGGGACGTACGTGGGACGTACATGTGGGCGCAGAAGCTCTTCGTGTGACTGTTATTTAATTATTCTAAGGTAGAATGGAATTGGAAAATTGCTTGAGCTGTGATTGTTCACGTGTGAATAAGCAAGTACATTCCGTAATACGTTACGGGGGAGATAATATTATCGATATTATGCTATGGGATTTGAGAGTCTGCCAATTGCTGGATAGACCGTGTTCAAGTGCAGATGCTGGGAATTGACCTTGACCTTGGGCTCCTCATCTTGTGAGGTCGAGGGTATGATTCGATGAGGGACTGGCTGTATCGTCGCTCCACAAAAATTTTATCGTGTGAATCCGGAATAGCAGAGAAGCTTCGCGCTTACGAAAGGTCCTTGTTCATGATCACAGGCAACAACCGAACATCGTGACCATGAGCTTGTTGTACTTGGACATCATCGACGGATGGTGGCCCGAACATGATTCTTGCGAGAAAGCAAGAGGAAGACTTCACGTCGTCGAAGGTCAACGTCCACTTTAACATGATCCGACAAACTTCCGTGTCCCTTTAACTTCTGAAGCTCACAGAGAGCCTGCAGCTTATCCATCCATGTTCAGAAGATGCGCGCCTCGATCGACAATATTAGCCCAAGCTCATCATTGTCGGGCTTAAGTATAATGGACAAGTTGAGCCGTGTAATTCTTCGTCGATACCTCCAGGCTACAGAGAACTTACTTGTTCCGCCATTGGTGACAGGGTAGCCCGAACCCAATATCATCCATCCTCACCCGTACTCGTGCACAGATTTACATTAGGCGCCTTCCAGTCTTCCGTCGACCCTACGAAATCCTGTGAGTTTCAGATGACACTGCGTCATCTGAAACTCACAGGATTTCGTAGGGTCGACGGCAGCCTTAAACCTTAGATACCACACGCTCAGGTTCTTCTTTCTCCAAAGGCTGCAGTATTAGGATCTGATAAGGGGAATCCAGGTCCAGTTTGGGGAGGCCCAGCCACTTATGAAACTTTCATAGATGGTTTTCGAGGTTACAGGTAAACAAATTGTTGCGCTTTGCAACTTGCGGAGCTCTGCTTTTTGGACTCGTTGTGCTGTGTGATTTGTGATTAGTATTCCTCATAAACTTGAGTTGAGTTACAGGCATAAACTAATAACGGATTGAAGACAATTTGTTACTTACTTTTCACGTTGCTAATCTTTCAAGCCGACTTCTCAGCTACTCAAATGCATGGCAATGAGAAATCACCTTTTCTTTTGTCGCGTAACGCTTTTGCGTTTGGCGTGTAGGAGTGCAGAAATCTTCAGGGGCCGGCTATTGCGGTGTCCCGGTTTCCATCATTATAGCCCGACATGCTGATACATGGTCCACCAGCAGTGAGGTTGGGCTTCTGCCACTTGTTCGCCGTTCAGTTCGGATAGATTCCTCACCTGCTGAGCTCTACCCTTGTCCACTGGCGTTGCGGACATTACTGTCTCGTACAGCCCTGATTCACTTTAGCAGGAGTCGTCCGTTCTCGCTTTCTGATAATACGCCATGGTTTTGCGTCTCATGCGCATGTTACACCAATTCATTCGGGAATTTGGATAATCATTCCTTTAATCCTGTGTAACTTCTAATCTAAGTAAACACCGTGTCTCAAACAATCTAAATTAGTGCTCTCTGTTCAGTTATGATTTGTTCATATCAAGTAAAAATTTTATATTAAAACATAACAAATAATGACATCAAATACAGTTGAACAATGTATTTTGCTTATACAGATAGATAATTCTTGTCTCTGTTTCTCATTCTCAGGCTAATGAATCTATCGAAGATGCGAAGGCTCATAGCGTTATAGAAAGTAGCTCATGGGACAAGACAATCTGAATAAGAAAGTTTTAATCCAACAATTTCCCTCACGTTAAGCAATCAGCTCTTGGCAACACTTGGGCACTGATTATCATCTGTCTGGGAAATGGTTTTCTCATGTAGTGATCCTTACAACAGCCAACAGTTGAGTACATGGCATTGCCATCTTGCATGCATTCATTGCACAGTCGACCGTCAAAATGCAAAGAATCGAAATGCTGAAAAGCTAAACGGCGAAGCTTCACTACAACCCTCTGATTGATTTCTGACTGAAATCAATACTATTCATGATCGCTCGATGATTGAGAATTACAAGGAGCCCATCCCCTTGCAGAAGCCGAATCTTGTAGTTGCATTTGAACACTTAAGCGCATCATCTTTCACTTGAGTATCTCTTATGGCAGAGTGGAAAGAGATACTCGCATCATCATCTCTGCTCGAAAAGAATCGACCAATGCAAGGATTTTCAATAACTCTGGACTTTTCTTGTCCTTGGTGGAGTAATAGGAGGAGAAACCACAAAGAAAAATTCTCACGAGAACTGAGGAGACAAAATCATCATCTGGATCATAAGTCAACGAATTTGTCGGCCGAAAAATTCCTATCAGGTAACTTCTGCATTTCATGTATGATAAGATGCAGTAGTCCCGGTGTTCTCAGACACTATGCCAAAAGGTGCACGCACTTGGCCGGATAATGGATCGTCGATTATTGGTTCTATGGCTCTTCGTCGTGGATCTGTAGAGAAGAATCGACATAGCCCCGTTCCAACTGCAAGGCTTGAGTCAAAGAGCACACAACCTCCCCCATCTCTGACCTCGACCCACCGGCGTCTAGCTTACAGATTAATCCCAGCAACGCAACCAAGATCACAACTGCTCTGTCGAGAATTTGTTTCAGTTACGGATCGACGACTGTCTCGATCTGATCAGGGTTCACTGAGGTTTTCACCGGCCACAATATACATGCCCTCAGATCCCACAAGAAAATCTCATTAGTGGATACTCAAAAGTTGGTCTTTTGCAGATTTAACTGATTGAGCTTCTCAATGAGGTCGACGGGTCATGGACTTTGACCGAAACGAATACTTCAATGTTGCGAGGCTGCATTCAGTTCACATGCAGAAAGACATAGAGACGAGCATAAGAGCAAAAGAGAATGAGAGAGCTTAAAAATTGAGAGCTTACATATCTTAAAAACAAGATTTCATGTTACGATTTGGCTCTTACCCATTCTGTCAAGGTTGTTGCGGTGCTTATGGGAAACTTGTGAGGTTGAGGTCGTTGACTAGTGATAATCTCTAACAGCACCATTCCAAAACCGAACACATCACTCTTCGTGGTCAACATGCTCGAACATAATACATGGTGCATCGCAAATTGTAGGACATGAGTCAATAGCCATGTCATGTATATTGGTAACTATAATATATATATTTAGGGGAATGTTATTACCAGAAGGATGAAGCAATAATGACCAGACGTGTTCATATAACTTTGCCCAAAGTTAATTTTTTAAGTAAAATTATCATGTATGATTATATTTTCTGTATATGAACAATAATATGTAAAAAAAATATGCTTGGAGATTATATTTGAAATAGTATGCGAAAAATCAATATTTGACAATTGAGGTATAATATATAATACATGGTGCATTGCAAATGGTAGCACATGAATCCGTAACCATGTCACATATCAATAACTATCATATATATATATATATATATATATATACTCTGTATATATATACACACTGTCATATAAGCCAAGATGCAACGATTTGGGAAGGTGGTTCATAGGTTGTTCAGAAACTCGTCTGCTCCTTGTTTAGAATCAGTGGCTCTAACTTTAACTGCCATCTCCTCGCCATCTGGTAGCTTCCCGTAGTAAACTGGTCCGAACCATTCTTTTTCTTGAACCGTCATATTCTGTTTGATCTGTATGCCGGGATTGGTGGAAAATCTGCAGGAAATGGCATGTACTGCAATAGAATTACGATTGGCATAGTAGTTTATACAAAGTATAATCAACTGAAATACAGACTAGCCATGGCTCTGCCGCTTGTGCCGACTACGAGCTTTCCAATCCTTCCTTGTTTTTTAACAATGTGGTATTCCAGTAAGCTGGTTGTGTCCAGCAGAGTAAAAAATAGTCAGAACTTTGTTAGCATTCATGATATTGCATGGACCGAGTGAATACATGTAAACCAACTCAAGCTACTTGACATTTTTGGATCTCAGAATGTGCCTATTGCTGGGAAATGACAACTGAGAACGAATTTTGCATACACTCCGCTGTGCAATCAGGGGCTCATTCAGCACGAGGATAGATATGAGGTAAACTAAGCGGATTGATGTAACATTTGATGAATTCAGCTGTCTCTCAAACTGGTTCATTGAAAGTTATATGATTCTCTTTTGGCGGAGCTACGTACAGCGACTTCAAGTTCGGAAGTGCAGCAAGCGTTAAAGGTACTATACCAGTAGATTAGTTGTCTCGGAGGTCCCTGTCAGAATTCAATAGTCAGCTAACAGCCATCGTCTGAATCAGCCAAGATGCCCATGAATATTGGATATGCCCATGACAAGCATAAGAATGCCTCAATATGTACGTTTGTAGCATGGAAACAATGGAGCTCGACTGGAGCACTGACAAAATTTGCAGACTCGAGAGGAGCTGGAAATATTTTCACTGTGATTTCTGCAGGTCAGGGCATCAACAGTTCACACATCATTTCCGCATCAAGCTTTCATTTCCAAATTTTATTTGGATGAGTTTATCGGTTGCTGCTGTAAATCTAACATGCGACTCTACGAAGAGTTTTTATTTGTGTTCATGAATGTCTTGAGAAAGCATTGGATTGTCCTATATCAACGCTTTTTAGTTTCAAAACGAGCAAATTCTAGTCACACCTAGAATTTTTCCCGATGCACGGACGTCATCTTCAAGACACAGATTAAGGACAACGGGGAACCTGTTACTGCAATGTCTATGAGTGCTCTCAAAATTGTAGCTCTCTCAAAATTGCCTCGAAATTGGCGAATTTTTGCCTCCTTATGATTTCTTCTATGCCATAGT